CCCCCCCCCCCCAGCAACCCTCCTGCAGCACCCGTTTCTCCTCCTAAGGAAGCCACCCCCAGAACCCCACATTTTTGTCTCACCACTGTGGGGAGATCAGTCATTTCTGACGGCAGAGGCCTCTTTAAACTTTACAGTTACCAGATCTGACAGCTGAAGCTAGACAAATTCAGATGGAAATAAGGGTCAAGCTTTGGAGAGAGAGGGTAACTAAGAACTTAGCAAGGTTTGGCACAGACCCTCTGTCAAGTGACATGGTTCGGTCAAGCCTGGCTGTCTTCCTACAAGACAGTGCTGCTCACTTGGAAGCTGTGGGCTCGGCTCGCGGGAGGAAGTGGTTAGTTAGTGATTTGGTCCAGTCTGCGTCATGCCAAAGGTCGGGCTAGATGCAAATCGGGATTTTTTGCAGCCTTCGGATCCTCTAGAATAGGACCAAGCCATCTCCCAGGAATGAGTGTTATCGGCACAGAAGCAATAATCACTAGTTACACAGTCTGTATAGAAACCAGTATCAGAAAATAAACACTTCTATAGGACCGGTAGCAAACAGGAGAAGAATCCCACTTGGGAGGAATTGTTTCAGACCAGACTGCTTCGCGTGGGCAGGCTCCCGCGGGGCAAGAGAACAAGGCGGCAGTTTGCGGTTTCAAAATCAAGATCCGTAGAGCCCCGATAGGCTTTTGAAGTCAAGGCGAATAATTCTCTGTGTCCTGCTCTGGTCTGCAAACGGCACGATTGCCAACTTCTAGCTGCCAGCGCTTGTGGCTGTTCTAATCCTGCTCCTTGCTCCCTTTCCATTCTGCAAATGCAGTGGTTCTGCAGCCTTTTGGGGGACGTGTGTCCTTGGCTGAGGATGTCAGGCTGCTTTTGTGTCCCTACGGGTCTGTGCGGCGGGTTAGGAATAAAGCAACCCTTTCTGTCACGGCACCCAGTTGTAACGTCTCCAGCAGCTGAGCGGTTGTGGAGTTGTTCTTTGTTTGTTCTTCCAGTTCTGTTTCCCTTCCCTCCTCCTGCTTTCCATTCCCACCCTCTTGCCTGTGCCAGGTCCCCCCCAGGCTTCCCAGATCCTGGGTTCAGAAACGTGGTGCAGACACACCGACAGCCCATCCAACCTTGAGCCTCTCTCCGACTCTGCCGATACGCGGAGAGGGTGCTTGTCCTCGCACCCCCTGTGTTGGCTGCTCCCCAGCTGCCCAAAAATCAGACAAGTGGAGACCCTCCTTCAGAGTGGTTGTGCCGGAAAGGCGAGGAGGATGAGTGGCTGTTGCATGGGCAGCATGCCTGGTGCCCCCAGCACGGATACCAGCCAGGAGCCGGGGCAGTCGCAGAGGAGGTAGCAGGCATAGGAAGGGATTTGATTCTCATCCAGTCTGAGTGCACGTGGCATTTGGGCTACCCTCACCTCCACCGTCTTGGTAAGGAACTGATGTTTAATGATTCCCAGGAGGGAAGGGGGTGCACAGCCTTGGCCAGGGACAGCAGCAGCAAGAGCCGAGCAGGAGAGAAAAGGAAGGGGCAGGGTTGCTGTCGATGACTTCCTAGCACAGGCCGTGCTCGGCGTTGCTAAACTGGAAGTGATACAGCCCTGGGCAGGGCACAGTTATATTGCCATAAAGGTGCTGAGTCAACCATGCTATTTTATAGGTGCTTTTATAACCACATCCACCCTGCAGCTGGCTAATGCTGGCATAACAACACGGGTTAGAAATGAGGCCCCCTCCCTCACCTGGTGAAGCCCAAACTGAGTGCAGGACAAACCCCATCCTCCCTTTCCTGTACAAGTGTGGAGCTGGTGGCTGCTGCTGCTCAGTAAAGAAAGTGCATCAGAAGGCAGGGGAGAGGTGCACCTTTATAGACTTCCTGCGTGAGCTATGTAGAGAGCACGAGCACAAGCTTTCATGAACCAAAGTTCACTTTGTCATGAGTAGATCCAGGCAAGAAGTGACTCTCCGAGCGAGTTGCAGGGTTACTTTCATTGCAGGCGCTCGGATTGACCTGCTTGTGTCCCACGAAATGAAACACGCTTTCATGCGTACGTGTTCTCACTCTCCGATACCCATCGCCAATGGGAACCTTTTGAGGCCTGTTGCGAGGACATTTCTGATAAATCACTGGGGGAAAGGCATGGGGTATTTTTTTTTTGTGAAAGCAAAATAAACTTTGGTTTGGTTTGCAGCTCTTTGCAGAACAGTCCCTTGGGCCAAACCAGGCCTTTTTACGACAAAAACTTAATGCAGTGGGAAAACATCACCTGGTGCTGCTTGTTGGCTGAGACGCAGGAGCTCTGGACATTTGTCTCCGTTGTCCCCGTCACGGTTAGTGGCAGAACCACCCCTTCCCGGCGTCTCACCCCATGCACGCGTCTCCTCGTGCCAGGCCTGTGATGTCTGTTGAGGTGGGTTTCCCCAATTCACCAGCCATTAGACCATGATCCCTTTGATTTTGGAAGTGAAACAACAGTCCAAATGCACTTGCCAATTAAATTAAAATCGTATCCATTTCCTATCAGCTTAATTTGACAGGCATCTATGCAGGTACCCTCTCACCCTCCTCGGGATCCCCCTGCCAGGGAAGCATGGGCCCTGCAGCTAGTGGGTCTTCCCAAGGGCTCCCCTTTGGCCCCTGTGACAGCAGCTGTTTGATGTGTGTCCTAAGCAGCGTCCTGACCACGTAGCACTGCTTACCGCGCTGCAAATGCTGCAGCACACGCGGGCCCGGGTGCGAGGCCAAGGAGAGCCCTACCCACTTATTCCCCTGAATGAGCAACACCTCCACCCCAGAAGGGCAGGGAGAAGCGCCTGCAAGCTACTTCTTTTCTTCCTCCGTTCTCTGTTAGTTGAACCCTCGCCTGCCCATATATTTTTTCTTCATACCCATTCGCTTTGCCTCTATTTTCCCAATCGCTGCCGATCCCTCTCATTTTAGGAGGAAGGACCAAACAAAGATGCAACACAAGATAAACGATGCGCTCCGCTGATACAGCTGCTCCCACCCGACAGGTCCGAGAGCACTTTACAGACGGGACAGGAAAGACGTGCTTCAGTCCTCCTTGAAATGCAGCCACCTCTGGATCGGAGCCGGGCTCACAGCAACGCTACCTGCCGCTCTTTGCATGGATGCGTGATGCAGTGAGACAGGCCAGCCTGCTCCCGGACACGCATCTGCATCGAGCCCTGGGTTTGCACTGGCTTTCACATGTATTTACAGATCAAAGGGCTCCCTGGCCTGTTCAGGGTGGCCTTATCCAGAGCAGGCTCTGACAGGCTCACACTCCCTCTCCCAAGACATATAGGGAAGGGGAAGTCAGCCTCCATGCATCTGGCCTTCCTCTCCCTCCCACCCCTGGGGGCAGGGAGATGCTGGTACAGCCTGGCCTGGTTGGGAACACCATGGCACGGAGCGGCGCTACCCTTGTGTACACAGCCATCTGCAAACAAGCTCGTCAATTATTAATAAGGCTCAGCTCAGCCCCAGAGAAACCAAATCCGAGCAGGGCAGGAGGCACGGACAGTCGCTCCCAGGGGAATGCAGGGAGCAGAGAGTCTCTGCAGGGTGGGAGCAGTAAGGCTGTAGAGATCCTCGGGAACATCTGACCCCCCTGACACGGGGTCCTTTGCCCTGGTTTGGGCAGCTCATCAGCCTAGTCTGGAGCAACACTGACAGAGAAGACAGCGCACCCATCCATGGAGCCAGGTAATGTGAGCGCTCCCTAACTTTGGGGGGAGTGGGGATGCTGTTGGTAGCAGAGTGCATAAGGACTAGGGCAGCGGTCCCCACTGTTTCAGACTCGAGGCCTGCTTGGAAGATGCCAGCTCTGAGTTTCCACTTGATCTTTCGCTGCAGAACAATGACAGAGTAATTCCTCTCTTGCAAAGAGCCGAGCATGGGTTTAAAGCTATGGATTCCTATTTGAAATCTCTGGGCTTATCTTGTGGCTCGTGTTTGCACATCTAACATGGTGTGGCACCCTCAAAAGGATCCCGAGGCACCCCAGGGTTAAGACTAGAGCTCCGCTCAGCTATGCCAGTTCGCTGCCCGGGGATGGCTCTGTCACCTGGGCATTCATGGTGCTGGGAGGTCTGCCCAGTGCAACACAAGCCTGCCAGCACCCTCCACAAGCTCAGTAAATATCCCCCCACCAGGGAACAGGGGCAGAGAGGGGGCATCTGTGGCCAGCTCAAGGTCACCCAGCAAAGCACTATCAGAACCAGGATTAAAGGTCTGGGGTTCCTGGTTCTCAGCCCGGGCTGAGCACACCTTGTCTCTGGAAAACCTCCATCTGCATACCAGTGCCTGAAGCCTGGCTCCAGCTGCCACAGCTCTCCTCTGACCCACAGCACAAGGGCAGCCTTGGGGAGGTCCATACGTGTTGGGGAGAGTTTCCCTATGTTGGAGGGGTTCACAGCCAGAGGGAGAGGAAATCCTGGCCCCGCTGAGTGAGCAGAGTTCAGAGCTTTGCCCCTCCTGGAGAAACCGGGGTTATGGAGTCTGGGCACGTTCGATAGTATTTGCACTATATGCCACTCCTGGGACAAAGGAGTCCTGCAACAGCATGCACACAGCCTTCAACCCAACTAGCAGCAGGATTCAGCAAGATGACAGGTAGCTTCACATGGAGACTGTTCATAGGGGACTTTTCAGGGGTTGGGGAAGCAGTTGCCAAGCAGCTGAGAGCACAAGAATCAGCACTGGCACGGGCAGTCGAGCGGCGCTGGCTGCGAGCCAGGCAGAGATCTTGTGTTCTCACCCCAGAGTATCAGGCATCAACCTCAGAGTGAAACTAAGTCAAGCAACTCCGGTCCCCAAACGGCTCCGGATTTCCAAGCTGCCTGTCCGAAGAGGGCATCTCTGATGTCGTCCGGTGTGAGCGTGAGCCACCGAGCATTGTGGCTGCCACACTCGCTGGAAAGGCAGATGCCAAGGGAAATGCACAGGAACACCCTGACGCCAGCATCACACTGTTGCCATGGAAATGGGGCATCCGTATCTCAGGAGGCCACAGTCTGTTGGCAGGGGCACGCGCCAGGGTGCCCGGTTCTGTCCACAGGGCCGCACAGCGTACACTCATCCTGCTGCTTGCTCCCAGGCTATAGCATTGTCCTTCTCTCACCACACCTGTGCAGGCAAGCAGCGAATCGTCCTCTGCTGCAGGCAGGTGCCAGGGGCCCTGGAACAGAAAGGATCTGAGCTAGGACCTCCCATCATGGCAGGTCCTAGGGGCTACAAGGACCAGATAGCATGCGACAGCACTGGGGGTGGGGGGCAAGGATCTGTGCGTTTCCATCTCAGGTTTGAACACCATTTTAAATTATTAGTTTAAGTAGCCTGGGCGCAGGGCTGAGAGTCAGTGTGGCCTGAGAGGGAGACCTGGCTCTGACACCGATGCAGCATGCGGCCTTGGGCAAGACACATTGCCTTTACACTTCTGTTTTCTCCACGCTTCCAGGGCCTGGGAGGAGAGGCAGTATCTACACATGGCCGTAGCAGGACACAGCGCTCATGACAGGCTGTTAGTAGGGATCCAGCTCCTTTACATGCACAAAAGGAAGCCAAAAGCCCTCCAGTTGCTTCTCTTTTTTCCAGGAAGTAGAGTGAGGCACAAGTAGACAAGGTCAGGCAATCACCCCTACTCAGGAGCCAAGACGGCATCCCCTGCTTGATAGTGCCCTGGTGGCAAAGCTGTCCCTCTATTTTCCCCCTCTGCTATGGGCTGCCTGTGTCTACCGTTAACAAGGGCTGAGGTGCAGGAAGTCTGCGGTTTGGGTAGTGGTCAACATCCAGATGGAAATCCCGAAGGGTGCATGGGGCTGGACAGAGCTAGGATGGAGGCTCAGCCAGGCCAGGCCAGGCTGCATGAGTCAGATAAAGCCGAAAGCAACTCCAGAGAGCTGCAGCAAGGATGCTTCCACGTCCTTCTGGGCTTTAACATCCAGCAGATAGTTTCTCAAGTGGGCCAGTCTCCCCGAAGATGTGTCACTGAGCTCCAAGGGTCCCGGGGCAGCTGCGGGGATCATTTTGATCTTGACCACAGTTCGGAGGGTTGCTGGTTCTGGCCAGGCTCCTCTCAGCACAAGCCGCTGACCTGAAAGCCTGGATCCCAGCTGAGGCTTGACTGGGTCTCCCAGGTTGCAGCGGGCTTTGCTTGGAGAGGCCCTCCTCTTCTCACTTGCCTTGGCAAGGCCAAACGTCCAGTGACTGGGTCCCACAGCTCTGCGTCTCAGCAATCCCTCATTTTAGGGTTACTCTTTGCCAAAAGTCTGCTGCACTGGGCTGGCAAACCCTGGAGAGGGAGGAAAGGGCCTGGTGGGGTTTGCTTTGTGCAGGTTGCACAGCCTGTGTGCAACCTGCACTGTGCCAGACCAGACTGGAGGGGTGCCCAGGTAATGGAGTATTTCCTACCCAAACCCACATACAGATACTGGTGTTTGCACATCTACAGCACCCTTTTTCCCAGAGACCCGGGCAAAGAAGGCAGTGCAGGCTCACAGCAATGTGATGTCCCCACGCCCCTACCTGCTCCGAGCCACCCCAAGCTGAGGTCTGGTGTGTGGGAACGATGGCCACTAACAGGGATCTTCCAGGGTTGTAGGAACATGCTGGTCTTTTCTGTAACACAGGGCGCCTGGCTGTCTCCCTGCCCTGGCAATGTTACAAACCACCAGGCCACACTGTCCCCTGACACCATAGCCATAAGGCCCTGCCAGGTCCTGCGCTGCATCACAGGGGAAGTGGCCCCTTGTGCTGGCAGCTGGAGGATGGATGGCAGCTTTGCTGTTCTCCCTTCTGTACCAGTTTCCAGAAACCACAGACCGTTTGTCAGGTTCCTTCTCCCCACCTGGCCCCTTCCCAAGATGCTGCCAGTCCTGTTTCCTTATGAAAAGCAAATACCTCCCTGGTTTGCAGAGCCAGGCTCTCCCAAGGTCCCTTGCCACAGGGAAAAGGCAGTCAAGGCCCCAAACAGAGAGTGTAACACAGGGGATCTAACAGGAAACCATAGGTGTGATGTCAGTGGAGTCGCGGGTCTATGAGAGTGTGCGGTGGGGCAGTCAGTCCCGTGGGACTCGCGCACATAGGGATTTACAGAGTTTCACATATGGCATTGCACAGCCACCTCTCGTCTGGGCCGTGCTTTTGGCTTGGGGGATTGGTACTGCCCGTGCTAATCCTCCCCATGGAGCAGCACGAACACGCTGGGGGCATGGTGACCTGCCAGGGCTCTGGTGGTCCGAGCGGCACCTAAACCACCCTGTCAGGATCGGGGAATGGATCTGAATGCTTCTGAGAGCCCATCCTGGGAGCTGCTGGCCCTGCACAGCAGCTCCTCCTGCCTGCTTCTGTCCCGGGGGGGAATAATAAAGCCGACGGGGAAAGAGCCAGGTGACCACCATCCTGGAGCAGGCTGGCTCAGTGCACGGCTGGCTCTCCTCTGCTCACGCCTGCTTGGTGAACGGGATCCAGAGAAAAGCAGAGCGCGCGTGCGAGGCTGAGTGGCTTTGGCGGCCTGTCTTCCGGTCTGTCTCAAGGCCTCTCCCGTTCGCCTCATTGCTGGGGAGCGAGGAACTTTTTGAGCCACCGCCTCAGCGAGAGCGCATCGCTCACTGTGCTGTGGTTTCTTTCCAGGGACCAGCGCCACAGCCGAGCCTGCCTGCGCCTCTGCAGAAGGGCTGAGAAGCCGCGAGCCCCTCGGAGGGATCAACATCAGCGTGGAAGGAGCCCTCGGGACGGCCCAGGGGGCCCATGGAGAACCCGGTGGAGGAGGAGTCGGGGCTGTGGGGAGGGGGCAGCAGCAGAGCACCACTTCCCCAGGCCTTGGGGGTGCCGCCAGCCAACCTGCACCTGCCATGCAGGAGAGGCAAGGACCCAAGTGCTTGTCAGGCACCGCCAATGCTGGCTTTGTGGAGGACCCGCCGCCCTACTCTCCTCCAGACCCAAAGATGCTTCACTTGCTGTACCCGCCGTTCCAGGCCCCTGGCTCAGGACAAGTGCCCGTCACGTACCAGCCAGGACCCGTGCACCCCACTGCCTGCTCCCAGTCGAATCTACCTCCTGTCTTCTTCCCTTACACGATTGTATGTAGCCTCCTCGCACCTCTCTGCCACTACCTGCACCGCTCTCGCCCCTCCAAACCCGCACCCCTCCGGTTGCCTCTCAGCAGCATGTGGCAACACGACTGCTGAGCTAACCAGGACTATGTCCCCCTTACACAGCTTCCCTCCAAGGGCCTGTCTTCCAAGGATGCACGGGTTGGGAGGCTCCCCTCCCTTCTTCCCGCAGCAGACAGCAGGGCCAGCCGTAAGCACGTGCAATACAAAATGACTTCATGTACTTCACAACAAGTTGTGGGGCCATGCCATTGCTCTCCCCCATGGCAGGGTCAGAAGGGAACACAGGCCTGGTGCTAGTCTGTCCATGACATAGCTCCTTGACAACTCCCAGAGCCCTATGACAAGGTCCTGAGAGCACGGGACGATCTCCAGGCAGTAGCATCAGCAGTCCCTTGGAAGGAATGGGGGTGGGGAGGTCCAGCTGGTGCCTTTTACATGTCACTCCAGTGATGCCAGGCAAGAGGTAGCCCAGGGGATGGCCCAGGTCTCCTGGCATTAAGAGCCCGCTTTGCTCTGCCTTACAGTACAACGGGCCACCTGGCACTGGGCTTCCAGCACCTGTCAACAGAAGACGTCCGCCCAAGGACTACATGGTGGAGTCTGTCCTGGTGATGATCTTCTGCTGCTTACTGACGGGGATGATTGCTCTTGTGTACTCCCAGGAGGTAGGAAACACCCTCAGTCTGGGTCCTTTCAGTGGAGCCCATGTGATCTTGGCAGCGGGGTCCTCTCCTCATGCCCCTGCAGTGTGTGAGGGATGTTCAGCAGTAGCAATAAGATGCACTCAAATGATGCTAAGAGGTTGCTGTTGCAGGAAGGCTGAGCCACGGGGTCCCTGGTCGTAGCTATTTGGGGTAGTGGAAGGAGGGAGCAATTCCAGGAATAATCCTTTTTTCTCCAGAGTTGGCTCTTGACTTCACCCTAGGCACATGACAGCACAACTCCGTGAACCCACCAGTCGCAATTCATACCCATGAAGAGAAAGCCTTTTCCGGTGGCCGTAGGGGACAGGAGTAGGAGCCATAGTCTCAAACTGCAGCACAGGAAATTTTGGTTGGAGTTGAGGAAGGGTTTGCTGATGGTGGGGGTCAAGCATTGAGACAGACCCCTAGAGAAGGGGTGGAAGCAGTATCCCTGGGGAGCTGCAAGAGCGGGTTGGACAGACGCTCGGCTGGGATGGTTTAGTTGGGAACGATCCTACCCTGAACAGGGGGCTGGACCAGGTGACCCGCATCTATAGCCCAGCCCGGACCGGCAAGCTCAGC